CTGATTGGCCTTGCGATTGCTTGCTAAACATTGCTTGTTTAACACAAGACTATTTAAATAATATTGTTAAATAGTCTGTTTGCTATTGGCTAGTCCTGAGACAGTTCCTCTGTAAAGGCCATTGCACACAGATACATTTTCGTATGCGTTTTGATTCGTTGGCTCTGAATTGTCAAAACACCATTCAAACTGCTTGCTATGTATGCGAAAAATGTCGAAAATCGAACCGTTGCGAGCGGGATTGACATAACTTGAGATCGTATTTATTTTTTAACGTGCAAAAATTTCGGGCTCGGTGTGCAAGGGCCTTAACCCTCTACCTCCCTCAGTTCCACCTGCTATGGGATTTATGAACGTCCATTCATGTAGAATATATGTAGCAGCGAGCCTGTGTATCTAATGGTAGTAGCTGGTCCATATTTGCTCTGCAGACCTAATACATTTGCTTTGCTATATTCATTAACACACCAAAACTACTTTAAGAGTTGTCATGATTGATTATGCATTTATTCTATTTTAAAAAAAAAAAACGGTCATAAAATAAGTGTTTCCTATTTGAACATATTTTAAAATGTAATTTATTCTGGTGATTTATTTCTGATATGTTGATTTGGTTCTCAAGCAACATTTTCTTTTTACCAGTGTTGAAAACCGTTTAATATTGCTGCTTAATATTTTTGGGAAACCATGATGCAAAGAAATTCAGGATTCTTTGATGAATATATATTTTTAATAAATGCTCTATTCAACTTAACTTTTTAAGTCGCATTTGACCAATTGAATTAATCCCAGAATGACAGATGCTTCTGCTGCATGAACTAAGCTATGTAAATGCGCCTGTATGCTGTATTGCAGAACAGCCTCCGGGCCTCCTTACGCATGTCTTTCTTTGGTAAAGGCCACCCTTAACCCTCATTAACCGAGCAAGACTTCAACAAATCCCAACACAAAAGCTACTGGCCTGCTGTTTCTTTATTCAAATCCTTCTCTTTGAGGTTTGGGAGGTGTATTCCTCCCCTCTCCCTGGACTTCTCCCCCTTCCTTCTGGAGAGCCCCTGATCGAACAAAACACAGGAAGTGTGCTGAGAGTGAGCAGCGCTTTGAGGCTCGGCTGTTCTCTGTTGATTGACCCAGTCCTCTTAGAGTATTGACCGCCCTTACTCGCAGACTGCACGCCCGCTTCCGCTCTGCCTCGCGCTAATTACTAATATCAGAGTTTGCTAATATTGTTATTATTGCACACTCCATTTTATAGTGCTTTGTAACAAATTGGATTTGTAGAAATTGTTGGCACGGTAAAGCATTGATTACGAGGGGAGTGTGTGTTTTGTTTACCGCATTGGATTTGTTGGTCTAACTGGAGCGCCGCCTGATAGTTTAAGTCTTATCTTATCTGTCCCTTCTTAGAGGCCACGGCTAAAGAGTCAAAGGCTTAGTGCAACATCAAAGCTGTCTACTTTCTGCATGTACACTGCGGATGGAGAGGAAGACAAGGAAGGGGTTTGACAAGAAAGAACTGATGAGGGACAGTGACCTTGTTACTTGTGAGAGCAAGCGCAATGTAATGTATTTGGTCCAAATATTGGTTCATACAGCAGTGGGCTTCATTGTTGTAATGCAGCAAAGCCACACCTCCTCCAAAACACCTCATGTCTCAAAGCACATAACATTAAAATTCATACTTGCAGTCACGTGACTACCATGGATACCTGGCAGGCAACAAACGCTGACAAAATGGCGACAAACAGTGGCCAGCCAGGAGAATTTCAGCCTTGCAAATTTCCAAGACTACAATCAATGAACTATTTAGACCATACAGTATGTCACCGAATGTTAAAATTAGATATCAAGAAAATATTTACATACTCTGAACGTGCGATCCATACACAGCACCCGCTGATGTTTTCATTGCTTTGAGCTGGCAAGGTTTCTCTCCAGACTTGGAGTTTGGAGATATTTAATGTTACATATATCTTATAGAGAATCCGTCATCTTACACTGTACAAAATTGAAAGCCTACAAAAGTACAGATTGCTATCATTTTTTCAAGAGTGAAAACGTGACAACGCTGTCGTATGGGAGGTGAAAAACAGGAATATTTTTTATAGTCAAAGCAAAGGTCTGTTTGCTTATGTTTGCAGCTATAAGTTACACAAAGTGACATCATGTGATGAAGTCTTCGTCTGAATATGCCTGCCGGTGTTGTGCCTGAATGCGTTCAATGTTTTGGGCGAACGTGAACTGAACGTACTGTATTACTGCCTGATGAACGTTACTGTGAACGCGTTCATTTTGGTGTTTGTGAACGCACGCTCTCTCAGTTTAACTTCATACAATAGGGTGCCAGATTTCTATAGAGCATTCCAGGCAAAAAAACTGCTAAAACACACGTAAACGGGCCTTAATATGTAGCGAAAAACACCCAATCTGGCAACAAAAGACGCCAGTTTCGCACCGCGGCTGCCGTCGACAAAGTAGCGAGCGAGGAGGCGTCATATGATCATTTAAACGGGTTTTATGACAAAGTCTGTGACTATGGGAAAAATCGTACATTTCTGTGCGAACTTTGCCCGTCGATAAAATAATTGTTATCTGTGGTTGTATATGGGCTGTAGTAATAAAATTTAAAAAAGCTTGCAACATATGGAAAAAAAGAACGAATGTGTGAACTGAACTTTGAACTAGTTCACATAGAAAGTGAACTTTCCCAACACTGCTGCCGGCAAATGACAGCTTGTGAAGTAGTGCAAAATAAAAACTTATGCCAACTGTATCATAAATGGCTAGCAGTATGTCAAACATTGTAGCCTACATGCTTATCCACTCCACATAGCATCAGACAACAGATAAGAGCAGCGAAATGCATATAATTCTGTTAGGCTGTAATGTAGTATAATAATAAGTGTAAGATGGTATGCATGCAAAGTAATAGTAAGGAATAAGTAGACGCAGTACAGTAATGTCATTCATTCTACATTCATCTTCTCATATCATAGATCAAATCTCGTACAGATGAACGCGTTCTCGCCATCTACTTGCGCACGTGTAAGCACATTTATGTTAAGATTACACGATTGGCATGGTGTATCCAATCGCACAACTATCTGGCATGTCGTTTACACCCTAAAACACCAACTTTTGTATATTAAAACTAGGGTTGGGTATCGAGAATCGAGTATCGATTAGAACCGAGACTAACTTTTCGTTTTTCCCGGAATCGTTCAAAAGTTAAAATTTCGATTCCTAGTTTCGATATTCACAGTCCACTGAGCGGAAGAAGAAACCACTGAACAACACCAACGAAGAAGTGTCTACCGGAAGTGTTGGCATAACCACGCGAGTCGAACATGAGTACCTTACGTCGGCGATCCAAAGTGTGGCTTCACTTTTCTAAAAATAACGAAATCTCGGCAAAATGCTAAATTTGTGACAAAAGGAGTATTTTTACAGAAGGAGTATTTCCTTCAGAAATTATTGATTTTCTTCAGAAAGGCCGTTGGTTAGCAAGGTTAGCTAAACTTTTTTGACCCTGCCTTTTAAAAGAATCGCAATCGAGAATCGTTAGGAACCGGAATTGAAACAAGGAATCGGAATCAGAATCGTTCAAATTCAAACGATACCCAACCCTAATTAAAACTGGTGACGTCCTGGCAAGATCCTTGATTAGTTTACTGGGTTTCGTTGCTAGATATTGGCACATACACTTTAAGATTTTTAAAAGATATCTGACACTATTATTAAGATCCAATTGCATCTCAGGGGTATTGCCATCACTCCAAACTTCAGTAAATTCACTTAACTGGGTATTCCATACACAAAGAAAGATATTGTGTTCAATATACTTCATTCTGCTAAAATAGCTCAAGCAGTGTGGTTGTATGGGTTTCTGAATGCACCATTTGTGTTCTACCGTTCTGCATTACCAGTCTAAGAGTGTGTAACAAAAAGCTCTCGTACTGAACTGCAGCCATTTTATTCTTCGTCCTTTTACTGATTGTATGTTTTTAAATAATATGTGTATAGTGAAATATTAATGAGACTCTACATTAAACTTTAACCAGATTCTGAGGCAGATTAAACTACACTATTATATTTCTCTGACTGTGAAATAAAAGGGAATCCAATTGCAGTTGTACGCCTTTTTCCCTTGCGTAGCGCTGTCTGTCAATATCAATGAAGCCCGTGTGAGTCATTTGAGTAGCTCGGAAAAATAAAGCAGGTGAAATTATTGCTGAATATCAAGTTCCCACAGAAAAACCAGACGACGAATTTGTACATTTCAAATATGAATCATTAAAATAGAGTGCCCCTCTGATTGAATAAACCAGATTTTGTTTCCTGGACAGTGAATGTATTTGTTTTTTCCTTTTATTTTGCTCTAATTTGTGCTCTTTCATATCTAATTGACTCTGCTTTTCCATGCCGCGGTAGATGGAATAGACAGAGTCGCTGTAATGAGACGTGCCCACTCAAGGCCCTGAGAGACCAACCCAGTTACTGGGGTACAGCTGCTTTACTTGCCTCATTTGTGTATATCTGAAGAGGATAGCAAAGTAAAGTCACAACTGACAGATGCCTCCCCAGCATCCACAATTTTCCTGCCCCGATGTGAGTCAGACAAAACAAGCATCATATTAAAATAATAACCTGCTGTTTTGCATGCAATTGATGTAGTGTTTCCCCCCCTCTTCAAGTAGCCCTCCTACCAGAGCTGTTAGCTTTCATCTCAAAACATTGCAATTCCGACGTCTGGACACCAGAAGCATTACCGTCAGCGTTGAAACCAATCACAATTCCCCGTAGTCCAATTTACTGTTGTTTTATGAAGGTATTTGAAGTTCGTATGGAGTAGCCAACTTAGTTTGGCCGATGAAACGTTTTCATTTGAACTTGATGACTGTTGAAGGGGTACGATGGGAATTTCGAAAACTCGCTCGGTATGGTCTTTTAACTGTCATTGTATATAAACTCCAAATCGTTCTCTTGTGTGCTCTTTTTAGAGTTTCCCTTCAGACGAAGGCTGGCCGTTTGCGAAGTACCTGGGTGCTTGTGGGCGGATGGTGGCGGTGAACTACGTGGGTGAGGAGCTGTGGAGTTTCTTCAATGCTCCCTGGGAAAAGAGGGTAGACCTGGCCAAGCAACTGATGGACATTGCTGAGCAGCTTACCAACAACGACTTCGATTTTGCTCTCTACCTGCTGGACGTCAGCTTCGATAACTTCGCTGTGGGCCCGCGGGACGGGAAGGTCATTGTTGTGGATGCGGAGAATGTTGTGGTGGCCGACAAGAGGTTGATAAAACAAAGTAAGTAAATGAGTTGCCCCTCCAGTAAATCTCATTCTCTTCACACAGAGTTTGATTTGGCGCAGTTACAATTGCATCCTACACTCTAATATGCTCCCCCAAAGATGTATTAAAGGGATAGTTCACTTTGAAATTAATTTTTGATATGTTTTAGCTTACCTCAAGGGCATCCAAGATGTAGGTGTGTTTGTTTCCACAGTATTTTCAATTTTGACATTTTTCAGTCAAACCATTGTTTTCTATCAGTCATACACTGGAGGCAAAGGGGGTCCACCAAAAAGCCTGCACAGAGAAGTCAAAATTAAACATGATTTAATGACTCGTAAATGTAAGTACACATTGATGGTCTAAGACACGAAACGAGCGGTTTGTGTGAGAAAACGAACAGTATTTATATTGTTTTTACCTCTTGTAATCATAGCCATGACAAAATGATCTGACGGCACGGGCGCTTCGGTCTGCGCATGCGCCGGAAGAGATCGCTTGCGCGCCTACGTCACTCTTTGTTTATACAGAGTTTTCGGACGTTTTACCTTTCACTAAACATATTTAGATATAAGGGAAACCGTAATGGAAGACGATTTCGGTATATATAAATATGTTTTGTAAAAGGTAAAACTTCCGAAATCTCCGTGTAAATATTGAGTGACGTCACACGCAAGCGATCACTTCCGGCGTAACATTGAACTGATTCAGTTCGGTTCAGTTGGACATTGCCCAACTGATTCAGATCACTTGGACGTCACTGTGATTACACGAGGTAAAAACGATATAAATACTGTTCGTTTTCTCACAAAAAAACGCTTGTTTCGTGTCTTAGGCCATCAATGTGTACTTGCATTTACGAGTAATTAAATCATGTTTAATTTCTCTGTGCACGCTTTTTGGTGGAGCCCCTTAGCCTCCAGTGTATGACTGATAGACAACAACGGTTTGACTGAAAAATGTCAAAATTTAAAATACCGTGGAAACAAAGACACCTACATCTTGAGGTAAGCTAAAGCATATCAAAAATTAATTTCAAAGTGAACTATCCCTTTAATTAATGAGGACTGGAGCTTTCTAGATTTTAAAAGGCTCCCAAAAGCACCAAAGATACACCATAAATGCAGTCCATACAGTTAGTGTGCTACATTCCAAGTCTTCTAAAGTCATACGATTGGTTTGTGTGCAGAACGAACCAACATTTTAAGTGATTCTCTCTGTTGAACTGTTAACTGCTGCCACTAGAACACTAGTCGGTGATTCTGTGCAATGGATCAAATTGTTAGTTGAAAACTTTTTGTTTGTTTTTTGTGAACCATCAGTTTTTTGGTTTGTTCTACTTTCAAAGCTATACAATTACTACAGAAGACTTGAAATATAATGCACAGACTATTTCTATGCATACAGACTACTGTTATGATAATTTGTGGTGGTGTGTATACTTGTGAATACTGTACACATGGAATGATATAAAAAGACAAACATTGGCAGACATTTATTAAAATATCATCTTTTGTGTTTAAAAATGCATACATCAGGGCTCCAGACTAACTTTTTTTACTAGGAGCGCTGTTGCCCCTGACTGAAAATTTTAGGAGCGCAAGCAAAAAATTTAGGGGCACACCTTAAATAAGCTTGCAATGCAATTATTCAAATTTCCCACAAAATAACTGTAATACTGACAAATTCTTTAACAATAAATAGACTTAACATTATGATATGCTGTTTTATTTTAACTTCACAGGGCTCCAGACCCAAAGTTGAGGGCAGCATCACCTCAAATGAGAACTCACAGTTCTATAAAAAAAAAAAAAAAATCTGGTAGCACTGGGGCTAACAATAAATCACTAAGCTTAATTTAGGGTGTAGATGAAATTAACTTTAGTTTTTATCATTTATAATGTCTTAATATTAATTAATAAAAGTAGTGAAAATATGTATATGGAGTGAAAATAGCCAATAAACATCCTACTGTTTACAATGGTATTATTATTATTATTTTAAGTGTTTAAATAAGAGTTTTCCAACATCTTAAAATTTTTCGTTTAAGGACAATCTTTAAAGGATGAACAAAAAATGTGTTGGTATGGTAATCACATAAAAAATACAAAAAAATAAAACATTTATATGATATTATTGAAGTGCTGGGAAAGGATGTGTAGTAGGCTACTTACACATTATCATATTTATGGTAAGAGTTAACTTGCATAAATTCATGGTTCTGTTAGGCTGATTTGTGGACTGAAAGCCTTCTATAAGTGTTTTTCCTGGTTTCCACGTCAGCGCTGTTTGATCTGATATGGTTTATAACAGAACTCTGCGCCGAATCGAAGTGTTCACTGGATCTCGTGGTGTTAATGTTATTAATTCTGAGGCGAATTCAATGGATTTCTTCACTGGCTCTAGTAACAGTGTTGCGTGAGCGAGATCGGCCCGCGACTGGCAAGTTCGGGGCTTTATTTTGTCAATGGTTCGGATCGCTGCTGCAGCTCCACGGTCCTAATCATACATGAGTGACGTATTTTCGTTCCACTTTCATTAGGGCCCAAGCCCTGAAAGGGCGAAGGCCCTATTGTTTTCCTTAGGATTATTATTATTATTATTAGGGCCCAAGCCCTGAAAGGGCGAAGGCCCTATTGTTTTCCTTCCGATTTAGGGCCCAAGCCCTGAAAGGGCGAAAGGCCCTATTGTTTTCCTTAGGATTATTATTATTATTATTAGGGCCCAAGCCCTGAAAGGGCGAAGGCCCCTATTGTTTTCCTAACGATATTATTATTATTATTATTATTATTTATACGACTATTTGGGCACTTTTGGGGCCCTTACATGCTCAAAACTCTTGAAACTTTGCACACGGGTCAGAATCCGCGGCCATCAGGGCCGGGCTGAAGATGGTACCCGGGCGTGGCAGGGGGCTAGACAGCGCCCCCTGGAACGGGGTCCGAAAACTTGGTCCATAAATCAAACACGCTTGCATGTAATAATATGAAACTCGGTGCACATGTTGATCTCATCGTTCATATATACCTCAAACTATTACTTTTTACCCAGCCCAACAGGAAGTCGGTTATTTAGGGTTGTTCATAAAAACTCGCAATGGAATTTGAAGTACTCCTCCTAGAGAATTCAAACACACGGCACGAAACTCGGTCAGCATGAAGTCAAGGCATTGAGGATGAAAAGTTTTGCGAGGGGATTTTTGATATCTCTAACGGTTTGGCCGTGGCGAGGAAACGAAATTATGGCGAGAATCGTGAAACAGGAAGTGTGTCAGAACTTCAGCATACATTAACTGATCTTGATGAAACTTCAGCAGTTTGTTTGCTGTAGAGGAGGCGATCACATGGATGTGAATATTGTGAGTCAAAGTTATAGCGCCACCAACTGGCAGCAGGAAAGTGTGTCACTTTCAAAATGCTTTGATATCACCCTCTTATTTTTACCCGATTTGCTTCAAACTTAATCTGTATAATGTAAATACATAGCAGATGAAGACCTGTGAATGGATTCTTGATATCTTTGATACTGTTGCCGTGGCAACGCATCAAACTTTAAAACTCTTTTTTTTGATGATTTTGAGACTCTTAGCGGCTTTTGGGGCCTTAACGGGTTTGAAAACTCTTGAAACTTTGCACACAGGTCAGATCCCACAGCCATCAGAGCCGGGCTGAAGATGGTACCTGGGTGTGGCAGGGGCTAGACAGCGCCCCCTGGAACGGGGTCCGAACACTTGGTCCATAAATCAAACACGCTTGAATGTAATAATATGAAACTCGGTACACATGTTGATCTCATCGTTTCATCTATACCTCACACTCTTACTTTTTACCCCAGCCCAACAGGAAGTCGGCTATTGAGGTTTGTTTGTAAAACGCTCGCAATGGAATGTGCAATACTCCTCCTAGAGAATTCAAACACACGGCACGAAACTCGGTCAGCATGAAGTCAAGGCATTGAGGATGAAAGTTTGCGAGGGGATTTTTGATATCTCGAACGGTTTGGCCGTGGCGAGGAAACGAAATTATGGCGAGAAACGTGAAACAGAAAGTGTGTTATAACTTCAGCATACATTAACTGATCTTGATGAAACTTCAGCAGTGTGTTCGCTGTAAGAGGACGATCACATGGATGTGACTATTGTGAGTCAAAATTATAGCGCCACCAACTGGCAGCAGGAAGTGTGTCACTTTCAAAATGCTTTGAAATCACCCTTTTATTTTTACCCGATTTGCTTCAAACTTAATCTGTATAATGTAAAACATACGGCAGATGTAGACCTGTGAATGGATTCTTGATATCTTTTAAACTGTTGCCGTGGCAACGCATCAAACTTTACCATTCTTTTAGGATGCTTTTGAGACCCTTAGCATGCTTCAAATCGCATGAAACTCGACAGACACATCACATTTATTAGCCAGTAGACATGTGCAAAGTTTCAGAAACGGGCGTGGTGAGGGCTCAGTAGCACCACCTTTTGACAAAAGTGGGGTTGTTAGTTTTTAACTAGAGTTACAAAAATCGGTATGTATATTGTACTCCTCGAGCCGGACAACTTTCTAATTGACACTCATTAGCTAGGACCCACAGAAAGTCAGATATCTTTGTTTGAATGTAGAGAAAATCTTAGAATTTTGCCAGTCTCTCAGTGTCTCTCTGTGTGAGTGAGAGGAGGGGCGCCTGTCAGGTTAATTTTAACCCTTTATTTGCTGTGTGCGACTTCTCTGGCATTTTCGGGGGCCTTAACATCCTCTAAAACTCTTGAAACTTTGCACACGGGTCAGAACCCATGGCCATCAGGGCCGGGCTGAAGCTGGTCATCGGGCGTGGCAGGGCGGCTCGACAGCGCCCCCTGAACTGGGATTCGAACATTTGTCCATAAATCAAACACACTTGCGTGAATTAATATGAAACTCGGTACAATTATAGATCACATCAGGCCAAACAACTTTCGTGCTCTAAGTTTTACGACAATTAAAATGGAAGTTGAAGAATTATGGGTTGTTTGAATAGTTGTC